GTTATATCAAAAAACAGCGCCGTAAAGTACGCTATATTTAGCGGTATAATAACTTCTAATGTATGAATTTTTATTTTACTTCAGGTATATCTAAAAGGGGTGCAACGAAAATAGCCATATTCAGCGGCCTTACGAATTCGGACTCGTACATCCAGATACTTAACGATTACCTCATCCCCTTCATTAAGACGTCGATGCCGAATCATCATAGATTCCAACAGGACAATGCCCCCCAGCACACAAGCAGGAAAACTAAAGGATTTCTTAAGGAAAATGCAATAAACTGGTTTCAAACTCCCCCCGAGAGTCCAGACTTAAATCCCATAGAAAACATCTGGTCTACGATGAAACACCACTTAAGAAAATACAATAAGCCAAAAACAAAAGATGAACTTATAAGTGGGATGCAGGAATTCTGGAAGACGGTCACAACTGAGGAATGTATAAAGTACATTAGCCATATAAACAAAGTTATTCCGGAGGTGTTGAAAAGGGAAGGCCGTGCATCCGGATATTAGATTAATGATTATCAGGAGAATGCACTTTTTCAATTAAATGACTGTTCGTAAGAGCCATTTTATTAATTTGCCATTTTTAAAATTTATTTTTTATAAAATTGTTGTAGTTTACTGTATGGACGCTCCGTGTTAATTGTGAATAAACCAACTATTCATTGACTGCAATAATTTGTTTCATTATATATAGGTCACATTCCACTTCATTGAAAAAGACAATCGCCGCATAATTCTGCCATATTCATACTTCACTTTTTCAATTGGCTTGAGTATGTTATCGTGACTCTTATCGTTTCACCTAAGTAAGCCAAAATTAAGATGAAAGGGCAACATCGGTAAATTAATTATATTTCATTCAATTACAAAATTCTATTTTTGAAAATGTCTACGAAGTTGGGAATGCGGTGAATAAACAGAAATATCGTCAGTGCTTGAACCATGGTTAAACCCAACATTTAGTCTTCCATGTCTTAACAAAGGGCACATGCCGTTCTACACCAGAACAATGCTTGGAACTAGCGGGGCGTAAGATTGCACAGACTGCTTGACGGGACACGATGTAGACGGCGGGGAGTCCGAGATGGTAACGATTGATAACTTAACAGCTTAAACTGTCGCTACTTGCCCTGTTATTATCCACGCGGGGGTTATCAGGAGTCACGGTCGCACTGACAGTGATCTACTGTGAACGGTCTTATTGGCCTACCCGTAGGGCCTCGATTGATTCTGGTGCATGTTGTACCTGCCTTCTCCATAGGGAAGCATGTGAAATAAAAATCTCCAAAAGTTTAGACAAAGGATTCGCTAAAGAAATTAAACCGGGACAGTATGTCATTGTGGGCACTTTCTCGGGATTCCCCATGAATGGATGGGTTTTTCCCCCATGTCCTGAGAGCATTGGGTACCCGATTTTACATAGAGTTCCGATGCTTTTGTGCATTTAGAATGTAGTGTAAATATGAGTTTAATATATTAATGATAAATATAAATGCGTAGTAGATTTATGTTACCACTTTTTTAAGCTACATGTATACATTAACGAAAAAAAATTGTATTTCATTAATTTTTTTTTTTTTTTTTTTTTTTTTTTGGTGAAAAATGAAGGCGTGTTCAGACCAGTAAAGTTTAATATTAATAAAAATGAAAATTGATTGGAACAGAGTTGTGGGCTTGGGCACATGACTCGTAATGTTTCAATAGAAGTACGATATCTCTTATCTAACAATAATAGACTTTTCCTTTATCTTATCTTCTATAATTGTAGCATATTCACAGTAAAGATAAGCGTCTGTCACGCCAAGTTTAAGTATAAAATCAGGCTACGACCATGTAGAGTAGTATACAGGCCCTTGAACTATCACAGGTTTTTCTTGAATAAAAATGTTCCCTAGCTTAGTAGGTGGATACACCACCCAGCGGTCAGCAAGTACCAACATCTACTCACATCAGACAAAGGCCCAAGTCCAGGTTGGCTGTAAGCTAACGGAATGAATATATTTCAGATTGTGTTGTATACTTATAAATATGGTTATTTCTTGTTCGCAAGTTCTGGTATTCCTTTATTTTCTTGGAGTCATTTCACATCATCAGTTTGTGTATATACCTGCCAGCATGAGTTAAAGCGCCACCAATTTTTTTTTTTTTTAATTTAACTTTTTTTTTATTTATTCTATTTTATTTCATTTTTTATTTTTTTTTATTTTTTTGTTGAATTTGTAGTTGACTATTTTTTACAGAGTCCTTGTAGGGAGATGTTAGATGGAGGTGTGAAAAAGAAAATCTGTGACATCAGAAGGAATCTGTTCAGGATTCAGAAGGAATCTGTTCAGGATTAAGAAGGAATCTGTGACATCAGAAGGAATCTGTTCAGGAATCAGAAGGAATTTGCCGAGGACAAGAAATTTTGGCAGCATGTAAATAGTTTTTTTTTTACTTTCTCATTTCCCAGAAGTTGTACTTTAAAACGGATAAAGTGAGGAGCTACAAAGCCCTAGAGGCCAACTGTTTATTCTAGGATGGGTGGATAAAGGAAATTGTTCACAAAGAATCGATGGCCAATCACTCCACCTGAGCCGTGGGCTATCACCTCCAGTTCAGTGTAAGTCAAAAGTGCATGGACACTGCACATGCATGGCTGGACTTGGTGAGGCACGTAGCCACAAATCTGCAGTGTTATTTGCTCTAGAAGCCTGGACCAAGGTCAGGAAGGAATCATCTGTGACAGATGTTTCAGCTTACTGGTTGATGCCATCATCCTTACAGGTACTGAATTAACTTATTATTTTTAAGAGCATTTTGTGGTATCAAGGTAAACCAAAAATTTATTTGGTAGCCATCCATTCCTGCACTTTTGTGATCATGTTTATTTGATTGCCTACCTTGAAATCTCTGCATACTAACTTGTGCGAAAAATGTTTTATGAGATTAAATTACATATTCATAGATTGAACTGTCTTTTACCTAATGCCTGTGTTACTGAAAAGGACCTTGACAGTCACTTCAAGAGTATGACAAAGAAAAGTTTCTTTTTGAAATCTCAAGTCTTGTATACAAAGAAGGTTCTAAGAGTAAAGTGTATGAAATAATCAAGAATTCTTATTATTTTAAACTACGCAGCAAAGCTTACAAATATACAGACACCACATAGAAAATAAGGCAGCAAAGCTGACAAATGTTCAGACATTCAGACGTAGGAAAGTGTGTGCCAAATAACATTTTGGCCCATTTTGATGTACTATTACATAATACTTTAAAACAGCATGATCACTCTTACCCGCTTGCATTATGTACTACAAGTAATGCTATCTCATTTGGAGCACTAGTACTGCTCCATAATATGAGGTAGCTGAGCAAAACAAGTAGACATACACAGACTACAAAAAGGGTGGTGCAAGAATCGTTCAAGAAATGGAAGCCAAGAACCATCCAAGTGGACATTTAAAAAACTGGACTGGATAACAATTATCTGATTTATGAAAGTGTAGAATTGAAGAAAGCAACACTAGTTTTTAAACCCTAAACAGACTTTCACCAAAATACATTAGGGATTAACTGGATACTACAGGTACAATCATAGACAATATCGTAAAATCATCAGATCAAGTAATGTGGGAAATCTCTATTTCACATTTGGTAGACATAAAGACAAACCAGTACTGACTTAAGGTCCAATATGAATTTCAATTGAGATATGGAACTGTCTTCACTATGAAGTTAAAAACTATTTTTTAATGTTACAGTATTTTAAAATCAAAGTTAATTTTACACATGTATATAATCATTAAGTTATACTATTTAAGTTGTACTGTTTTTCATAAAGTGGAACGAAAAAAATTGGTAGTCTTTTATTTAAATGGCAGGTCCCATATCCACACATCTCTTTGCAGTTAAGCCTCATTTACAGAATGAACTGCTAATCTTAAATTTTCCCAAAATTAGCCAAAACAAGGGAGTAAACAGCAAGACATAATGGGAAAAATTTTAAGCAGTTCTCAATCTTCTGTCATTTGTTAAACAGTGTAGATATTCTATTTGAGTTCAAAACAATAAAGTTAGTTCCAGTGGAGTCTACTCATTTGCTTTATTAGTATAAACAACATACTAGTAGATATAAAAACCAGAGCATCACAATTAAGGAGGTTAGTAAAAGCTTGTTCAAGGAAAAACTTACTAGTATCAATGTGTGATGGTCTTTCTCTCGGCAGATTTCATTGACAAACAGCAAACAAAGTTCTTAGATTTAATTGAATGCAGCTTGGTCTTGTGTCTTCATTTTATATAGTTGCCCATCACCATATTTTACTGTTGTACTGCTGGTAGTATTGCTGGTCACTAAAACAAAAAAGTACAAAATACCTTACAAAATACCTTACAAATAAAACAAATACATTAAATACTAGGAATTAAAGTAAAACTTACGTAATTGTGGAGTCTTAGGCAAAAGAGAAATAGAGTGACACTGCCTGGTCCGAGTCTGGTCTGAGTGTGGTCTGAGTACCTGTGGTCTGAGTGGAGATGAATGTGACCCAGAGTCACATGAGCGAGTATATTCTGGTGTTACACCTGAGTGGCATAGTGAACAGTTAACAGCTATTTATTCCACAACACAAGTATTAGTAAGCCAGGACTTATTGCCCTGGTATTTTAAATGTACTGTCATCAGACTTGTCTTTATGATCAAATCATAAAAAATTATGCTCCTCAAGAATTTCCCATCAGTCTATATTGCAGCCTGTCCAAACAAATAATTTCTGTATTTAAGAGGGCGAATGGTGCCATTTGGTATATGGTTTGGAACTATGATTCAGCTATTCAAAATTTTATTTTCAAACGGGGACCACTGTTGATCCTTTTTTTAGAAATTGAAGGGGAGTCAGGACCCCATGCCCCCCCCCCCAATAAATCCGCCATCGAAAGGCACGCGAGTGCGCAAACAATGAATTTAAAGATATTGTTCTAAACTTGCACAAAACCACCTGAAAATACCTCGTGTAGTGTGTCATCACAAACCAGAAGTACAGTGCAGCTACGTCCCTTCAGACTACAAAACTGAAGCTTGGACTTCTGTGGGCCACGTTTGCATAAAAAGTCATTCCTGTTCAATTGGCAAAGTCCAGTGTCGTATTGACTTGTATATCAGGGGCGGATTTAGGGCGTCTTCTGGGTCTTCCGGAAGACGGTCAGATTTTCAAGTTTACATTGGCGGGTATCTAATTTTTTTCTGTCGGAAGACGGTCAAAAATGAAGAACGGATCAACAAAGATAATTTGGAAGACTGTCAGGAAATATCTCTGGATCCGCCCCTGTATATGCACAAGTAACCATTCACTTAACGCACATTGCTGTAATAAATGTACTGAACTTTGCACCTTTTACACGTGATAGACCTACAGTAAGTCTTACCCCACACTCAAGAGTAAACGTCAATGTTTCCCGCGCTGCAGCAGAGACATTCCCTTCTTTCTTTTAAATCTCGTAAAACATCGAAAATAACGCGAGGTTTGATGAGCCGCGCCAACCACGATTGTGTTTTGTGAGGCGTCTCAACCAAGAGTGTGTTTTGAACAGTGAAGTTTCTTCGCTTCAATTTCGCAAGTAAAAAAAAAATTAAAGTACGTAGTGCTAGAGACTAATCATTTAGAATTAATACTTTATGGGTCTAAAATTTAAGAAGAGACGATTTACCCAAGTAGGCCAACTATTATGAAAATATCTACCAAATTAACTAAAAATTTAAGATTTTTTTACACTTGTAATTTTCAACAAAGTTTTACACTTGATATTTTCGTTTATTGTTGTGTTCTTTTCATAACACTGTGCACATTTTTAATTCTAAAAAAATTATAGGTCTTACTTTGCAATGAATCAGTAAGTAATTGACAATAGGCCTACAAATAAAATACTACGGGAAATGTTACAAAAAAAAAAAGGAAAGAAAGAAAGAAACACACGTTATTAAACTCCCTGCACAAAACCAAGTTCGGCTATAATTTGTAGATGGACCTTTTTTCTGAAGTATAATTCAAACGTATTTATTACGAGGCAGAGTGTTTATATATAACTTTACCTTATTTTTCAAGTTTCTTTGCTGCAGGTATCTGTGGCTTTTTTTCGCTTAATGAGCGAATACTAATCCAGTGCTTCTTTTATATCCTCTGTATCCTGAAACAGTCTGTAAAATGCAGTTGCTAACTTGGTGTAGAGATGGCGTTATTACGTGAGGACATGTCACACAAAATGTTATGACGTCACAATATGATACGTTATGTCGTCATTAGTTGTTCCGTTTCGCTGTGCATGATTTTGATTCAAACACAGATTTTTGCTTGCTTGAACCAGATGACCGGTCTGCGACGTTAGATTCTAGATTCTGTCTTCTTTTGTTCGGATCAGTAAAATTTTCAAAATATAAGAATTCTGTGGGCCGACTTGGTCATTAATTTCTATAAGCTTTCAATTAATTTTTTTATGAAATGTCATTGTTAGGGTCTACATGAGATCAAAATCAAGGTCTTGTTTATAATTGCGATATGGGAAAGTGACCATGCAGTCTTACTGAATTTTTATTATCGGACCAGTCGAGATTAGGAAGCTGGTTGTCCGAATACCCAGTAAGCTGAAAACTTTTCAAAATTAAAACGAACAGACTGGATGAATGTGTATAATTCTGACACTCGTATTTGCCAAAATTTAATATTAATAACAAGAGGCAGTTTATTTATTTATTTTTTTTTTTATTTATTTATTATTATTATTATTATTATTATTATTTATTTATTTATTTTTGTACAGACATATTTATAGTCATGTAAAATAAATTGCATCGGCCGGGAATCGAACCCGGGCCGCCCGCGTGGCAGGCGAGCATTCTACCACTGAACCACCGATGCTTGTCCCTCTAATCAACATTTGTGAAAATGCCGCCCCCCCTCCCCCCCCCCCCCACGTCCTTTTCCCCTATACTAAAATTAAATAAAAAACGTAATGTTAGCAGGTCAACATATCAAGCACGAGATACGTTTCCTTTTTCGACTAAGTAACCAACTCTTTCTATAAGAGTAACAATCTATTTCTTGTTTTACCTCGTGTCTCCTGCTACTAGCAAGTGTGCGTGACGAGGTTAATTACTGACACAGAGATAACAGAGCACCCTCTACCAGGGCTGCAGATTAATTATATGTTTTTTCTATAACGCAATTAATGCCATGAATTTACTGGTGACATATCTCTTAATATCTAGTAAACAATTTAATGGTTTAAAATTCAATTATCTATTATTAAGATTAATACCTGTGGCCTTGGTCGAAGGTAATAGTATTATTTGGGGGATGCCGACTAGAAGAAAGTTTTTAATGAAACATTTTTGTAAGTTGAACGGGTGCTTTACTTGACCGAAGTTTCCATTCCCCAAATGTTCTAATCTACTCAAGGAACTTGCTAGTGAAATGAATAGCGTATCTAGATACAGGGAAACTAAGGTTAAACTCCTTGTACAACGCCAAGTTCGCTATAAACGAATAAATTATTAGTTTGTAGATCAACCTTTTTTTCTGAGGTATAATTCGAACGGATTTATTACGAGCCACGCTGTTTAAATTTGACTTTACCTTATTGAGCAAGGTTCTGCAGGGTTTTTTTTCTTTTTTGCTAAATGAGCGAAACTAATCCAGTGCTATTTTCACTGTATCCTGAAAAATGCCGTTGCAAACTTGGTGTAGCGATGGCGTTATTACGTGAGGTTACGTCACACAAAATATTATGACGTCACAATATGGTGCGTTATGTTGTCATTACTTGTCCCGTTTTGATTTTGATTCTGACAGATTTTTGCTTGAATCAGATGACCAGGGTTTTTTTAAAAGTTTTCAAAAGAGCTTTCGATTTATCTATTTATTTATTTATTTATTTATTTATTTATTTATTTATTTATTAGATAAGAAAAAAACTTTCTACAAAATCAATGTCTTGTTAACGCTAATATAACAGCGATATGGGCATACGGGATATTGAAATTTTATTCGGACCCGTGAATCTTGATTCGGACCGGTAGATATTAGGAAACTGGTGGTCCGAATACCTTTAGTTGGCTAAAAACTTTTCAAAATTATAACGATCAGCCTGGGTTAAAGTGTAATATTCTGAATCTTTATAAAGAGACTAATTAGAGTTTGCCATAGGGTCCATCTTACTAAGAAGTCAGTGCCTTTTTTTATCTTGTTTCTATTTTATTATTATTATCATTTTAAATTGGCATAGTGCTGAGTAATGTAAAAGAAATTGCATCGGCCGGGAATCGAACACGGGCCGCCCGCGTGGCAGGCGAGCATTCTACCACTGAACCACCGATGCTTCCTAGACTTATCTTATGCGCCACCCCCCTTGGCGCTCCCACGCCCCCCTACACTAAAATAAAAAAAATAAATAAAAATTAAACGTAATGTTGGCGGGTTAACTTATAAAACAAAACACGAGACACGTTTCCATTTTTGGATTGATTGACCTCTTTCAATACAAATAACAATCCACATCTTGTTAACCTTTATATTAAGAGGTGTCTCCTGCTTCTAGCATGTAGGTGTGACGAGGTTAATTACTGACACATAGATGGCAGAGCATCCTCTACTAGGACCTGCTGCAGATTTTAATTACATGTACTATTCTCTTGTTTTTTTTTTACTCAAAGTTATCAAATCAGAAAGACCAAAATGGGCGAGTACAAATCCAGCTCTTATTTTTATTTACACTGTAAATATACTGAAATATGCCGTTGCTAACTAGGCGTAGAGATGGCGTTATTACGTAAGGACATGCGACACATGTTATTATGACGTCACAATATTGATACGTTATGTCGTCAGCTCACGCTGATGGTAGGATATCGCTGTGCATGCTTCAAATTATACAATTTACTTCAACTAATGTTTCTTCCTTTTTTATTGCAACGTCATTTACACGTATTTTTGGTCGGCGATATTTCATAATCTAAGAGGGAATTCTGTGCCATACGTGCACAAATGTAGGCCATATCATATTTTTCCGTAACATATATTTTTCGGTGGTGTATAAAAAAAAGGAATCGAACCCGGGCCGCCTGCGTGGCAGGCGAGCATTCTACCACTGAACCACCGATGCTTGCTTTTACCTACAGGGGCCTCCCCCACTGGTCCCCCCCTTCCCCTCCCCCCTTCATCCAACTACCAACGTCCTTTTCCCGAACCTACACTGAAAAGAATGATGTTGTAGGTCAATATAGCAAACATACCACTAGATACGTTTTCTTTTTCGACTAAGTGACCAACTATTTCTATAAAAGTAGCAATCTACACTTTGTTTCCCTCTTCTCTCCTGCTACTAGCAAGTGTGCGTGACGACGTTAATTACTGACACAGAGATAGCAGAGCACCCTCTACCAGGGCTGCAGATTAATCATATATGCACTTTTCTCTGACGCGAGAATATACACACACTGGACAATAGAAGTGTCACCTCTACTGAACCAATACTTTGGGGGAGATAAATGACTGTGGAATGATGTGCCCCTGGTATCATTTTATTAACATCAAATTTCACAAATGAAACGGTTCTTACTGAACAATTCAACTGTATCGATATTCTGATATTGCTTATATTCCGCCTCTTCAGGTTAATAACTTTGGTTACTGTGATGCAGGGGGTGACACTTCTATTGTCCAGTGTGTGTATGTATCGGTGACAGATCTGTTAATATTAAATTTTAGTAAACAATTTAATGGTTTAAAATTCAATTATTTATTATTTAGATTAAAATTTGTGGCCCTGGTCGAGGGTAGTAGTATTCTATGTAAGGGAATATATGCCAGATGCATTTATTAAAACAAAAACAGATGGATGTCCACAAAGGAATTTGTCAATGGATTTATTCTGGATATGTGCTTTTCTTGCTTTACCCTTTTTAAACGTACCGGGATATTGCCATTTTGGGCACAACCAGACATCAAAAACGGGATCGGTGTTACGCATTTTCTGTTTGATTATTTGTATTTGTGCTAGGGCATTATGGTTGTGATGGTTTCGTAAAAATTTATGCCAATCTGAGGGCAGAGATGTGGTGTCATCAACATGAGGTAAAGGCCCCAGTGTTTCACCATGGTCTCTTTTTTTGTCTTTCAATGCTCTTTGGGTACAAAAATTCCTCTTGACAATCAAAAACAATGTGAACTTCCCTGTAACTGTGCTTTTGAAAATTAGAAAGGACATACCGATCAAACAAAAACTTTGAATAATGCAAGAATTTGGAATGACGAGGTGCTGGATTTTAAGTTTATTTTATTGATGAGAACAATTGCATCAAAAATGAGGCATTCTTTTGGTCAGGGCTGCTGGTTGAGAAAGAGAGTGGATAATGTTTTTTCAGAAAGTCTAAAGCTTTTGACTTATCACCCTTATGGCGTTATTACGTAAGGACATGTGACACGTGTTATTATGACGTCACAATATTGATACGTTATATCGTCAGCTCACGCTAATGATATTAAATAATCTAAGAGGGAATTTTGTGCCATCCGTGCACGTATGCATTATATTTCTTCTTACTCTATAGTTTTCGGTGGTACAAATTAAGTTGCATCGGCCGGGAATCGAACCCGGGCCGCCCGCGTGGCAGGCGAGCATTCTACCACTGAACCACCGATGCTTACGAAATTACGTGTGATTTGCAGCCATCGGCAACCCCCCCCCCCCCACCACCACCACCACCACCACCACGATTTGAACCAACGCTAAATTAAAAAAAACGTACTGTTGGCGGGTAACATGAGGTACGTTTTCTTTTTCGACTGAGTGACCAACTCTTTCTATAAAAGTAACAATCTATGTCTTGCTTACCGTGTGTCTCCTACTAGCAAGTGTGCGTGACGAGGTTAATTACTGACACAGAGATAGCAGAGCATCCTCTACCAGGGCTGTAGATTAATTACATATACTTTTCTCTAACGCGAGAATAGTGGCATGAATTTACCGGTGACATATCTGTTAATATCTAGTAAACAATTTAATTGATAAAAATCTATTTTTTATTATTTTATAAGATTAAAATTAATGGCCCTGGTCGAGGGTAGTTGTATTCTATGGGGGGATGCCTATTAGAGAAAAGTTTTTAATGAAACATTTTTATAAGTTGAAAAGGTGCTTAACTTGACCAAAGTTTCCATTCCCCAAATGTTCTAATCTACTCAAGAAACTTGCTAGTGTAATGAATAGCGTATCTAGAAACAGGGAAACCCGGAATAAGAACTAGGCCGTTTACGACTTTAAAGATCCATTTGGTACAATCTATAGGCCTACCACTGTGCACATTTTTTCATTATAGCAGTTTTCTAGGTCTCACTTTGCAATGACCCGGTAAGAATATTGGCAAACACAAATAAAATACTACGAAAATGTTAAAAATAAAGAAAAGATAAGAAATAAAGAAGATAAGAAACAAAGACTATTAAACTCCCTGCACAACAACACCAAGTTCGCTGTAGTCAAATAAATTATTAGTTTGTAGATCAACCTTTTTTTTCTGAGGTATAATACGAATGGATTTATTACGAAGCACACCGCTTATATATATGACTTTACCTTATTCATCACGGTTCTTTGCTGGAGGTATCTGAGACTTTATTCTTTTGCTAAATGAGCGAATACTAATCCAACGCTTCTTTTTATTTTCACTGTATCCTGAAAAATGACGTTGCTAACTTGGTGTACAGGTAGAGATGCCGTCATTACGTGAGGACATGTCACACAAAATATTTTGACGTCATTTATTCAAAGGTTTTCGTGTACATATACGACTATATCCTTAGGATCATAGTACGGTTCTTTTACATATTATATTGATGCATGGAACATTGATGCTCTGCCGTAACTACTACTTCAGTGCATGTGTAGCAATAATAAAGTTACTTATACATGTATAAATAAAAAGGAGCGGGATATACTAACTGGCAGTGTGGTGTTTAGTTTGTTGTGACATGGAAGTATGCCACATCCCAAATCGAATAACCCAACAGATATGGCGGGAATTGAAACAGTGGTAATCGTCCGATAATATTCTACATATTAGGCCTACATATTCCACTCCGTGTGTCAAACCGTTGAACAATGCAGCAGTTGCGACAGGAAGTGATTGCTAACAAGAATACACATAAGTGGCGTTCCTATTAAGCGGACTGAATTGCCAGACAAGTTAAAATATACCAAGGTATTTTTCTACTCAGCCGAGCGAAAAGTCAGACCAGTAACAATATACCAAGGAGCAGCGTGTGTCGATCCTGTATTTATCCCATTTGTTTTCGTGTGGTGTCTGCTGACTTAGCTGCTTTAGAAGAACACATCTTAATTGATAAAACATATTTTTTGATCAGGCAAGAGTGAACATTTTAGTCGTGATGGACGAATTGCATGGTTATTTCTTTTACCTAAAAATTGGCGACTATATTATAATGGCTTCGAAGAATCCATAAATCCCAACATTAGAAATAATAAGGTGATCAACACATTGCTACACTTGGTAGCCGGTATGTCGATTTAATTTATTAGGAGAATAACAATAAACGTAGCTGACATTCACTTACGACAGCTAAAGAAGTGTCTGCCAAATTTAAGCCACATGCGACATAAAGCATCATTTTCCACACCAAAATACAATTAATTATATTGGATATGATAGGTATGATTGACTGCAGTAAATGTTTGGAGATTGTAAGGAAGTGGAATATGCAGATCATTAAAATTCAACTGCTAGTATCTATCACAAAAGAAACAAACTGTTTCAACGATTTTCAAATGTTTGTCAACAAGAAGTCCTTTTTTGTCTCATAGCCCGTAGTTTGATGTTTACAGCCAAAAGTATGAATGTAATGTTTTAAAGAAGGTAACATGGGATTGGTAACTTGTCGAATAGGGGATATGCGTGACTGATAATGTTTATCCCGACAATACTGCGAAATGATGGTATTTAAATACATCACGCAACAAAATGTTACATAAGACTGGGACCTATAAGAGAAACAACAGACATATGGTAAGTAAAGCTAAGAAGAATTACACAATGAGGGATATAGTGTGTATTGAAGATGTCAACAACTTCAGTAACTTCGACAACTGTACGATTCAGTGTGCACGAACATCGGAGTTTTTATTTGACCGACCTATGGTAGACGAGTAGACGTGGTTATGATACTAATTACGTATGATTTGACGAGTAGGTGTGGTTATGATACTAATGTCGTATGATTTACACTGTTTTTGTGCAGCAAACGTTGCCACATATAGGTAGACCAAAATACAGACACTATTTTATTGTTGATTGTAGATTTCATATCTAGCTTTGTACGTTCGCAGAGTAAAGCAATGCTATTTATTTATATCAAGGGTATTATATAAACTTGTATTTCGCACTCGATGAATATTGCAGAATATAGTTCAGGTTGTTTATTACTTTTGTTTTAGAAATCTGAACTTACAGAATTCATATAAGCATGTCCTCAAACAATCTGAAAGTTCTCCTTCTTATGGTCGTTCAGACTATCTGCTCTTCGAATATGGTAGAGGTAGGTCCAGACACGAATTTGTTATTGTCTCTTGAATATTTTAAAAAGCTTGACTACTTAAAAACCGAGTGTCTACAAGAAACTTAGACTGGGTTCCTATGCCTTGATCGATCCATCTGGATCGGTCTAACTCCCTGGGGAGTCTCACTAAATTGCTATCAACTTAATCGGCTCAATTGTCTGTTCTGCCTACCGAATCAGCTAGGGTAAAGATAATTACCCCCTTACAGCTTTACAAGGCGTGACAGACATTTTAACTTTAAAGTGGTAAGGTGCTGCTATAAAAACACACAAAAAAGGGCGAAAAATAGGCGATGTTTTGCCATTTGCAGTTGTGTGGCGTCCACGTTATGTTTGTTTTATAGATTTTTTTTCAATTTTAGAGCCCCAAAGGAAACTTTAGTGCGCACTGGATTTTCAAGTACAAGGAATTCTTTGATATCTTGGACGTTGATGAAAATGGCATGGTGACTGAAGAGGAATTCATCGATTCAACAACAAAGCGAGCTCAGCAAATTCTCCCATCTTGGAGAGCCATGGCGGTGAATGGTATATTGTCTAGTGCCTATAATCTGTGGTGGTTAAATAAATACACCAACTATTCAAAATCCATCACATTTCAAGATTGGCTTCGGGCTGACGAAGTTGAACTCCCAATTACAAGAGAAGATCTCGTAAAATTCGCAAAAGATTGGTTTGACGCGCTTGATCTCGACTGCAATAGCAAATTGATGGTAGACGAGTATTCCAACTTTCTTATTATTTTCCGTAACACTGGTAAGGTTCAAGAAATATTTGATGCCATTAATTGGAATGAGGATGGTGTGATTGACACCAACGAGTTCATACACGCTTTTATGGGCTACTGGGCTGATCAAGAACCCAGCCCTTCTGATGTCTTTTTAGGCACTCGTTATTAAGCCAGCGATGATAAAGACTTTATTTGGCCGTGACCTTTTTGATTTAAAATTGCATATTAACTTCTGAACTTTTAAAATGTAAAAGTTACCTATTCGCATCCGGGTGTATTGTGTTTTAGATTAACACAAACACCATTGACTGGTACTTTATACATTGGTGGTTCGACAGGAAGAAGAATTTCAGTTTTAACCTTTTTAATTGGTTCGTTTCTTGCTTTATTTGTTGATTCTCCTCGGGACAGTGTGAGAAAATTAAGACATAAGACACGCCTTAATCGTATTTTAGGCAAATGTTTTATGACTGAATTTTGAGCACATTATAATTTTTATATGTCCTTGTAATACCCACTTGGATGAAGTTGTTTCTATAGTAGTCAGTATGTGTCATATAATGTATTTGTATATGAGGTAAAAAAGTAAAATTTCATTTTGCTTCTTTTACAGAACCATCAACCAGTAGTATGACTCTACCCAAAATATATGGTCCATCTCTTAAAAGGTTGAGATCAGTGACAGGGCTTGGTATATCAAAAGTTTTAAACTGCCAGTGCTTCTAACTTATAATCTGTCATGCAGTGCCTTTTTTGGGAAAGGAAAGAGATTAACCTTTTGATATATACATTTATTATGGCAATAGTACCTTCATACTTTTTAGAGGTTTCTCCTGTCTTGGAACAGTCTTCGAAGTTGCAGAAATAATATACCGTAAGTCTTTCCCTACAGCCACCCCCCCCCCCCTCTCAAACACCATCGTCGTTTTCCTGAACCTACACTGAAAAAAGAAAAAAAATAATGTTGTCAGATCAACATAATAAACATAACACGAGAGACGTTCTTCTTTTTCGACCCATCTGGTACAATCTATAGGCCTACCAGTGTGCAGATTTTTTCATTATAGCAGTTTTGTAGGTCTTACATGTACTTTGTTATGGCCTGGTAAGAATACTGGCAAACACAGATAAAATACTACGAAAATGTTAAAAAAGAAGGAAGGAAGGAAGGAAGGAAGGAAGGAAGGAAAGAAAGAAACACAAACAATTAAACTCCCTGCACAACAACACCAAGCTTCACTATAAACTAATAGAATAATTATTTGTAGATCAACCTCCGTTCCTCAGGTACAATTCGAATGGATTTATTACGAAGCACACTATTTATATATGACTGTACCTTATTTATCAGGGTTCTTTGCTGTGGGTATCTGTGACTTTTTTTGCTAAATGAGCGAATACTAATCTAGTGTTATATACACTGTATCCTGAAAAATGCTGTTGCTTGGTGTAGAGATGGCGTTATTACGTGAGGACACGTCACACAAAATATTATGACGTCACCATATGATACCGTCATTAGTTGTCCCGTTTCGCTGTGCATGATTTTGACAGATTTTGTTTGAATCAGATGACCAGTCTGCGACGTTAGTTTCTAGGTTCTGGCTTCTGGTGTTACGACCACGAATTTTGTTCGGACCAGTAAAAATGTCATAATGTGTGAATTTAGTGGGCTGAATTGGTCGTTATTTTTTATAGGTTTTCAAAAGAGCTTTCGATTTAATTTTTTTTATTAAATGTCATTGTTAGGGCCTACTGAGATCAAAATTATGGTCTTGTTTATAATTGCTATATGAGAAAGTGACGATGCAGTCTTACTGAAATTTTATTCGGACCAGTCGATATTAGGAAACGGGTTGTCACAATACCCAATAAGGTCAAAAATTTTCAAAATTAAAACGAACTGATTGGGTGAATGTGTATCATTCTGACATTTCTATCTTTGCCAAATCATAATGCTAAATGCAGATCAGTGACTTTATTTAATTATTTATTAATATTATTATTATTATTATTATTATTATTATTATTCTAATAGGCATATATTTTAGTCATGTAAAAGACGTTGCATCGGCCGGGAATCGAAACCGGGCCGCCCGCGTGGCAGGCGAGCATTCTACCACTGAACGACCGATGCTTGCTTCTTTAATCAACATTTGTGGCAATGCCGCCGCCCTCCCCCCCTCCCCCCCCCCCNGGCGGAGGCAATCGAATGTGGTCAGAGGTAACTTGACACGATGAAGAAAGGCTAATAGTGAAGAGGTTAGTGTCAAGTTATCTCTGAAGCTCAGGGTGAAGGAAGTGGAATATGCAGATCATTAAAATTCAACTGCTAGTATCTATCACAAAAGAAACAAACTGTTTCAACGATTTTCAAATGTTTGTCAACAAGAAGTCCTTTTTTGTCTCATAGCCCGTAGTTTGATGTTTACAGCCAAAAGTATGAATGTAATGTTTTAAAGAAGGTAACATGGGATTGGTAACTTGTCGAATAGGGGATATGCGTGACTGATAATGTTTATCCCGACAATACTGCGAAATGATGGTATTTCAATACATCACGCAACAAAATGTTACATAAGACTGGGACCTATAAGAGAAACAACAGACATATGGTAAGTAAAGCTAAGAAGAATTACACAATGAGGGATATAGTGTGTATTGAAGATGTCAACAACTTCAGTAACTTCGACAACTGTACGATTCAGTGTGCACGAACATCGGAGTTTTTATTTGACCGACCTATGGTAGACGAGTAGACGTGGTTATGATACTAATTACGTATGATTTGACGAGTAGGTGTGGTTATGGTACTAATGTCGTATGATTTACACTGTTTTTGTGCAGCAAACGTTGCCACATATAGGTAGACCAAAATACAGACACTATTTTATTGTTGATTGTAGATTTCATATCTAGCTTTGTACGTTCGCAGAGTAAAGCAATGCTATTTATTTATATCAAGGGTATTATATAAACTTGTATTTCGCACTCGATGAATATTGCAGAATATAGTTCAGGTTGTTTATTACTTTTGTTTTAGAAATCTGAACTTACAGAATTCATATAAGCATGTCCTCAAACAATCTGAAAGTTCTCCTTCTTATGGTCGTTCAGATTATCTGCTCTTCGAATATGGTAGAGGTAGGTCCAGACACGAATTTGTTATTGTCTCTTGAATATTTTAAAAAGCTTGACTACTTAAAAACCGAGTGTCTACAAGAATCTTAGACTGGGTTCCCATGCCTTGATCGATCCATCTGGATCGGTCTAACTCTCTGGGGAGTCTCACTAAATGGCTATCAACTTAATCGGCTTAATTGTCTGTTCTGCCTACCGAATCAGCTAGGGTAAAAATAATAACCCCCTTACAGTTTTACAAGGCGTGACAGACATTTTAACTTTAAAGTGGTAAGGTGCTGCTATAAAATCACACAAAAAGGGTGAACAAAAGGTGATGTTTTGCCATTTGCAGTTGTGTGGCGTCCACGTTATGTATGTTTTATAGATTTTTTTTTCAACTCTAGAGTCCCAAAGGAAACTTTAGTGCGCACTGGATTTTCAAGTACAAGGAATTCTTTAATATCTTGGACGTTGATGAAAATGGCATGGTGACTGAAGAGGAATTCATCGATTCAACAACAAAGCGAGCTCAGCAAATTCTCCCATCTTGGAGAGCCATGGCGGTGAATGGTATATTGTCTAGTGCCTATGATCTGTGGTGGTTAAATAAATACACCAACTATTCAAAATCCATCACATTTCAAGATTGGCTTCGGGCTGACGAAGTCGAACTCCCAATTACAAGAGAAGATCTCGTAAAATTCGCAAAAGATTGGTTTGACGCGCTTGATCTCGACTGCGATAGCAAATTGATGGTAGACGAGTATTCCAACTTTCTTATTCTTTTCCGTAACACTGGTAAGGTTCAAGATATATTTGATGCCATTAATTGGAATAAGGATGGTGTGATTGACACCAACGAGTTCATACACGCTTTTATGGGCTACTGGGCTGATCAAGAACCCAGCCCTTCTGATGTCTTTTTAGGCACTCGTTATTAAGCCAGCGATGATAAAGACTTTATTTGGCAGTGACCTTTTTGATTTAAAATTGCATATTAACTTCTGAACTTTTAAAATGTAAAGGTTGCCTATTCGCATCCGGGTGTATTGTGTTTTAGATTAACACAAACACCATTGGTGGTTCGACAGGAAGAATAATTTCAGTTTTAACCTTTTTAATTGGTTTGTTTCTTGCTTTATTTGTTGATTCTCCTCGGGACAGTGTGAGAAAATTAAGACATAAGACATGCCTTAATCGTATTTTAGGCAAATGTTTTATGACTGAATTTTGAGCACATTATAATTTTTATATATCCTTGTAATACCCACTTGGATGAAGTTGTTTCTATAGTAGTCAGTATGTGTCATATAATGTATTTGTATATGAGGTAAAAAAGTAAAATTTCATTTTGCTTCTTTTACAGAACCATCAACCAGTAGTATGACTCTACCCAAAATATATGGTCCATCTCTTAAAAGGTTGAGATCAGTGACAGGGCTTGGTATATCAAAAGTTTTAAACTGCCAGTGCTTCTAACTTATAATCTGTCATGCAGTGCCTTTTTTTGGGAAAGGAAAGAGATAAAGCTTTTAATATATACATTTATTATGGCAATAGTACCTTCATACTTTTTAAAGGTTTCTCCTGTCTTGGAACAGTCTTCGAAGTTGCAGAAATAATATACCGTAAGTCTTTCCCTACAGCCCCCCCCCCCCCCCCCACCTCTCAAACACCGTCGTCGTTTTCCTGAACCTACACTGAAAAAAGAAAAAAAATGATGTTGTCAGATCAACATAATAAACATAACACGAGAGACGTTCTTCTTTTTCGACCCATCTGGTACAATCTATAGGCCTACCAGTGTGCAGATTTTTTCATTATAGCAGTTTTGTAGGTCTTACATGTACTTTGTTATGGCCTGGTAAGAATACTGGCAAACACAGATAAAATACTACGAAAATGTTAAAAAAGAAGGAAGGAAGGAAGGAAGGAAGGAAAGAAAGAAACACAAACAATTAAACTCCCTGCACAACAACACCAAGCTTCACTATAAACTAATAGAATAATTATTTGTAGATCAACCTCCGTTCCTCAGGTACAATT